GGCATTATTAAGTAACTTAATTTAACTCGTCGTGTACCGGGTGACCGCAACCTATTGTTCTTTAATTATGTCTATAATGACGGTGCTCGACGAGTTAAGGCCTAAATTATTAACCGATCAATGCAAATCTATGGATTTGGATTGATTTTTAACTGTATTGAGTTTCTGTGTAAAACAGAGGCCTTAGTACAAGTTTGTCTTACTTTTAAAGTAATCGAACCGAGACCTCGTTCGGCGCTCTGATTGGTTGGTTTATTGGCGCGGGCCAATCAGAGCGCCGAACGCGTACTCGTTACGATTACTTTAAACTTAAAAGAAATTCGTAATAAGGCCTCTGAAGTGAATAATTACATAAATAAGTAAATATTTAGACAAAAACAAGGCCCACAGAATTTTTGTTCTTATATTGCTAAGCTAACTTTTGTTCATAGTGAATAAGGTAATTCAAGCATGGATTACACCTTATGGTTCTTTCCTTAAATAAATACCCGATTTAGGAAACCATTTGTCTAGTCAAAAGCTTAACCATAAGGTATTGTTACAGAACAAAAGTCGAGGGCTGGGAACTAGTGTTTTGTGCTCTTTGTTTTCATTTAAAGACGTTTTTATTATCTTTGTCAAGTTTTAAACAGTTTTAGTACCTTTTTGAAAGAAAGAACTATTGTTTGAAAGGTTTCAGTTAATTTTTAACCGTCTTTCTTGTCAATATTTCTTGACTTACAACCGAAATTAATATTATGGCTTTAAATCCAAAATGGTTATTAATTACTACCTATTTGCGCGCGGTTTCACCCGCTCTGCTCGGCTCCTGTTGGTCGTAGCGACATGTTTTATAGACTATAGCCTTCCTCAATAAATGGACTATCCAACACAAAAAGAATTATTCAATTCGAATCAGTAGTTTCGGAGATTAGCGCGTCCAAACAAACAAACAAGAAAACAAACTAATTACGTTTACTGCAATCGGAGGATCGAAAAAAAACCGTAATGATTTTAAATGAATTTAATTATTGAATAATTAATACAAAATTAACCCTATGAATGATGATTCTAATTCGAAGTAGGATAATAGAATGATCATTCTTACAATTTATTGAACAAACAACAACTTGCGAAATCGTTTTACGTCAAAGGTGCATCAGCAATTAATTAAAATAATAATTATTGGTGCGGATGCAACATCAGCGATCTTCATATAGTGGCTGTATGTAATTAACTCTTCAGCTTTATAATATTAGTATGGATTACAAAATTATTGGTATTGAAAGTAGTTATTAAGTTTGCTACGATGCCTTAAATCTCACACATTATGTGATACTATGCCAAGCAATAATGAATCATTCTCTTTTCAGGTTCTGCCTAAGTTTCCACGATGAGGTTAGATATCTAGTTTCTGATGAATATAAATATGAAACAGCGTTAGCACTTCAAATAACTAATCTACTGACAAGAGCGTTTTGTTCACAACGGTACTACGAATTTATACTTTGTTATAATAATTATTTAAACTATTTTGCCCTGATGTAAAATATTGCTAGCTTTGGTTTAACTTGTGTTATATAGCTTGCGTCAATGCATCAATGCTTTTCAAGTACTATTTCGCTGTAAAGTAGTTTTAGTTCAAAGTCAATAACTAGTTAGAGCGTTTACGTGCCTTATCGTAGTCTAAGAATTTGTTAAAACATTTTCGACCTTAACATATTGAGTATTAGTACCAAGTTTCATTGTTTTATGGAATAAGCTGGTAAACGAGCTGATAGATCACCTGATGGTAAGCAATCGGCGTCGCTCATAGACACTTGAAATACCAGCGGCGTTACAATTGCGTTACCGGCCTTTTGGGGATTGAGGATTGTAGAGGATTCGGGGTTTGGGGAGACTAAGGAGGGAGGGGGTTAATTGGGCCTCCGATAACCTCACTCACTCGACGAACCATTAATATCGTTTCAAAAAACTTCCAAATTCATGGAAACTACTAAGTTTCCATGAATTTGGAAGTTTGAAAGTCTGTGCTACGTAAATACTCTTAAACTAGTCAAATAGTATACTTGTTTCTGTTTTTTCATACGAATATTGAATTTAATTTCAGGGTTGGGATAAATGATCTCCCGTTGTCAGTAGCTTTCTTCACAGCGGTGGAAGTTGATCAAGTACTAAGAAAGGAATCGAATCTCAACTGTACGACTCCATCCAATCCACACGGCTTAGATAAAGGCTATGGGATCCCTAATGGCGAATCTTTGAATATATTTGAAGTACTGGACAAATGTAAATTAAATAAATTAGATGAATAAAATGTATATGATTTTTATTTGGTTAAAGTAACTGAAATACACTTATTTCAGTTACTTTCATAGCTTTATGTCGTATGGCATTTTGCTGTGGGGACACGCTGCTGACATTGAGTCTATCTTTATGTTACAAAAGCGCGCCGTCAGAGCTATCTATAATGTAGGTCGTCGCGAATCTCTCAGAGAAAGGTTTAAGGAGATCAACATTATGACCGTTCCATGTCAATTTATTTATGAAAACATCATGTATGTTAGGAAAAACCTACAGTTATTTGGTAAAGTGTCGGACAGACACCACTATCAAACTAGATATAAATATAGATTAAGTCAGCCAATTTCGAGATTGGCGAAAGTAAGTAAGTCGTTCATGGGATTCTGTATTAAATGTAATATTATGTATAAGAAACCAGGCGACATGCAACACCTAAATGAATCAAAATTTAAATTATGTATACCTCTAAAGAAAACTTTATGTAGACAAGCGTATTACAAACTTAATGATTATATAGTGGATAAAAATGCTTGGATACAGGCTAGTCCGGCTCTACAGGATAACAAAAAACACTGAAGTTTTAATGAAATCGTAAATAATACAGCCATATTGCTAAATTGTATATTGTTTAACTTAGATAACCCATTGTGAATGTGAGAGCCCTGTAATTAACTTAATATTAAATTAGACTAGTAGAATGCATTTGCGTCAGCTTGGAGTTGCCAATTTGCCATGCTCACTCAAAGGTCTCATTGGCGGTGGCGCGTGCAGTGGATCGCTCGATTCCCTACAATATGGTTGAGTTGGGCGGTGCTGGTGTACGTGTCATGTTCGTGAACGGGAGCCGTCAACTGGGACTGGTCAGCTCCAGACTGTATTATTTATTGTCTTTAAGGTTATTTTCTTTTGCGATCACGTTGACTGGATTTTAGTGTTACATTGTTCTCGCACAATCCAAACAGCAAAACTATGTAACTAGAGAATTGTATTGTGAACCTGATTGAAAAAGAGTAACCTATGGAGTTTCTTGCTCGTTCTTCTCCATAGGAATCTGCACCTTGGAATGAGCAAATAGCTTTACTTTTAATTTTATTGTTGACGTTCAAAAGTGCCTAAGGGTCTGATTGAAATAAATGATTTTGACTGACTTCGGACTTTAACTTTGTGAAATCATGATTATATTACGTTTTGGATTTGAATGTAAATAAAAATGTTGTAGTGGTAGGCACATCAAATAAAATATGATGGTCATGTTGGTATTACATTAGGTACCTATATTCTAATAAAAAAAAATATTCTTTCTTAAAATATTTATTACATGAGTAGCAGTTTAATAAAACATGATTCAGGTACATAATTACATAACAAACCACGATTAATAAATAAAGCGCAACGAAGGCGCGAGAGGCGCCGGGCGCGGGCGTGCTCTGAGGTGCGGCGAGAATGGGCGCAGTAGGTGCAGCCGGGGGCGCGCGCTGCGGCGGCGTGGGTGCGCTCCGCGGCGCGGCGACTATGGGCGCGGTAGGCGCAGACGGGGGCGCGCGCTGCGGCGGCGTGGGCGCGCTCTGCGGCGCAGCGAGAATGGGCGCGATAGGCGCATCCGGGGGCGCGTGCTGCGGCGGTGTGGGCGCGCTCTGCTGCGCGGCGAGAATGGGCGCAGTAGGCGCATCCGGGGGCGCGCGCTGCGGCGGTGTGGGCGCGCTCTGCTGCGCGGCGAGAATGGGCGCAGTAGGCGCATCCGGGGGCGCGCGCTGCGGCGGTGTGGGCGCGCTCTGCTGCGCGGCGAGAATGGGCGCAGTAGGCGCATCCGGGGGCGCGCGCTGCGGCGGTGTGGGCGCGCTCTGCTGCGCGGCGAGAATGGGCGCAGTAGGCGCATCCGGGGGCGCGCGCTGCGGCGGTGTGGGCGCGCTCTGCTGCGCGGCGAGAATGGGCGCAGTAGGCGCATCCGGGGGCGCGCGCTGCGGCGGTGTGGGCGCGCTCTGCTGCGCGGCGAGAATGGGCGCAGTAGGCGCATCCGGGGGCGCGCGCTGCGGCGGTGTGGGCGCGCTCTGCTGCGCGGCGAGAATGGGCGCAGTAGGCGCATCCGGGGGCGCGCGCTGCGGCGGTGTGGGCGCGCTCTGCTGCGCGGCGAGAATGGGCGCAGTAGGCGCATCCGGGGGCGCGCGCTGCGGCGGTGTGGGCGCGCTCTGCTGCGCGGCGAGAATGGGCGCAGTAGGCGCATCCGGGGGCGCGCGCTGCGGCGGTGTGGGCGCGCTCTGCTGCCCGCGTGTGCTATCACGCGTGGAGGCGCGACTGGTGGACTGCATAGAAATTGATGGTGTCGTAGACACTGTGGCAGGTTTTCCGTCAAAAGAATCTTCGATGGTACGGGCCATGAGTAGTAGCTCAAAGAAATTATGACATTCTTCCCTGCGTAGCCTTCTCCTAATTCTATTAAGAAGAAGTCCGTATATCATGTCGATTTCGGCCGACTCGGAGACGTCGCCCTTAGGAAGGCGAGCCAAAAGGGCGCGAGCGCGCGCCACAAACATGTCCGTGTTTTCGCTACCCTGTGGCGTTGCAAAGATTTCTAGGTAGATGCGGTGAGGCGGCCGGCGATCTCCGTAGGCACACAGCAAATTATGTTTAGCTTCGTACCACGTTGATATAGAGTGTTGTATGCCTTGCAACCATGTAGCCGCTTCTTCTTTAAAAAGATAAGCTAAACCACGTATTATGTTTGAGTCTGATATTTGCGCGCAGCTACTATATGCCTCAATGGCGTCAATGAATGCTTCAACCGACGTCTTAGGATTGCCGGCAAAGGTTGCTCTGCAGCGAGCTAGGGTGCTTTGCCCTAGTACATCTAGATTGGGAGTGTTCGCTCGCGATACCGAGATAAGTAACTCTTTGAATGCCTCTGTTTGAGAGCGTTGTAGAGACGATATAATAGAGGCCACGTTTTCATTCGTAAACGTGGTTTTTGCTTCGGCTTGCGGCGCAAAGGTGTCGTCGCCATCTTGTGCTCGTGAAATGGACGACGGCGGCGAGTTTGGTCGCGTGAGGTCAGGGAATCCATCGTTGGCATCATCTCTCCGACTTAAGCTGGCCGCTGTACTCCTTGTCACAGCCATGATTTCTGCAGGATATTCACTGGGGGCACGTGTACACTATTGTTTCACGAAAAAACACGTTAGGGCGCTACATATGAGAGGAGGTTCTCAGTCAACACATCATGTTCTTCTCAGTCTATCTTACTCAACATATCTTAGTGGCTCACGACCGCGCGACGCCCTCGTTGGTCGCGATGTATTCTGTGTTGCTACAAAATCAATATTTACACACACAACATTTTACAAACAAAAAAGTCATTACAATAAAATACTTAAAACTAACTTACGTGCTAATACAAACATTAATTATTTACAAATAAAACTATTAAAATTAACTAAATGCCAAATAAACTAATTACTTTAAAACAAAACAATATTTTTTACACTAGTCACTATCACTATAGTTTCTATCTTCACTACTGAATTCACTATTCAAAGTCTGAATTTTGTTAATATTAGGTAAAGCTTACGAACTAACTTAAACATAACACAGAAATAACAATAAATATTTACAATAAATCTAAATAATCTAAAAGCAAAGCATTAAGGCTAAAACTGTTAAAATTAAATAATAAAAGTTATAATCTATAATTATAAATACATATACCTAGGTTCAATTACTTAAACAAAAATAACAAAATACTTATGATTAAAATATTACGGAAATCTACATTTTATACAACATAAACATATTAAAAACTAAAATTAATATTTTCTTCAGGATCAGGCCCACAGTTATGTACTCTTAGGTACTTTTGCGGGACTAATTCATCATCAATAAATTTAAACTAAAAACCATATATTTAAATAACTATGTATACTATAAACATTAAATAACTACACTATAAATAAAAATTTAAATAACTATAATTATTAAATTAATATACTATAATTACATATAAAATAACTATAACTATAATTTGTCACTTAGTAATCACTGTCATTTCCAGTATTATATCCGCTGTCCACTTCACTTTCTTCGTTAAAGTCCGCTACTTCAAATTCATTGTCTCTAAAATGCACTTCCACAATAAAAAATCTGATTCCAAGTAATCTAAAAACAAATAAAAGGTTTTCTAAAAAACGGACCAAGATTTCAGCGTTTGAGAAATCTCGGTCCATTTTTTCTAATTTTAACTACTCTAACTACAATTAAGTTATTTAGTCTACAATTCTAATTTAATAATTTTTGCGTTGTTCGAGTTGTACACAGCACTGATTTCGACTGATCGTGTGATCGTAACGATACTGAGCTTCAAACAGGAATGATATTTTGTTTGAGCTGAAACAGTTTGCTCAAGCTGGGATGCCAAGGAGTGGGGATACAGGATGTGCCCAGACGCAGAGATAGAAACATAAATCGTATTGTCTTCTCATTCAAAGGATTAGCGCACACCGGCGGAGCACGGAGGTGCGGCGAAGATACTGAGAATAAATCAATTTAAAATAAACCTTAACTGCTTTGGCATACGGTTGAAAACGCCATGATTGATTAATTCTCAGTATCTTCGTAGCGTCACTACCGGTGTGCGCTGGGCCTACCTCACCGCGCGAGAAAGGGAGAGAAGACTACCTACTTGAACTGAAGAAGAAAAGAAGTGAAGACTACCTCCGTATCTGTGTGTCTGTATGTATGTAGTATCTACGCAAACGCTTTTCGCTACTAAATAATACACGTATTACTCGCCGTTGATGGCAGGACACAGCTGGGCAATATAAAGCTTGTAACATTTTTTTATAACCTACAAATAAAGTCATTTGTAAAATCTCAAAGATCTCTCGAAACAAACATTCATAATTGTTACAGAGAATCAAATTTACCTTGAAACTCACTACCAGTATTCATTACACTGTTATTCATATTTTTTTCTGCCAAGGATATCTCCTCAGGCAGATTAAATCTACAGAGCGGCCTAGCACAAGGGCGCCTTCCTTAATATTTTTGGTGCCGTCGTTGTTCCTGGCGCCTTAGGGATAATACGGCTCTGTCTCCGAAATCTAAAAAGAAGTAAATAAAGCACTTAGAATATAATTATTTCTGACCAACTAACTAGCCCACTGTGCAAGGGATATTTATTAACTCGTCGAGTACCGGTTTTGTAGACGACGACGAGTTAATTATAATACATCAATGTATAAAAAGAACTACTACTTCAAATAAATAAATATTAATGACAAAAATTAACTAAGTAGGTATATAGGTAAATACTATTTACATTCAATTATGTGGGTACCAAAACATAATAGGACAAAATATTAAATGATTGATTACTATTAACCTATTGAAAAATAATAACTAGAATGGATTTGGTGTTTAACTAGGTTACAATAATTAGAGGTAATTAAGATAAATTGTGTATTAATAAATCCTAATCCTTATGCTTACCGAGTGAAAGTTATTGCCCACACCGCGCCAAAACTGGTCCATTTCAAGATTTTATTCCAAAAGAAAAAAGATTGAATATGTAGAATTAATAAATATGAATTTTATGTGCAGTGTAATGTCACAGCCTGGAAACAAGAATGTTATTTTATACTTTGTTTAATATTCTGTTAAATACCTATACATTATAATATTTATTTGCTACGTAATTGGTTCCATAGCAGGGAAACGTAGTAAAGTGCCTACGAAACCAACGCACCGCTACGAACCGTAGCCAGCGCGTAGCCAGTTGGCTACGTTAGTTTCGTAGCCGGCCGATGCGTCGTTTGACCATGTTAAACTGTCAAACACCAAGCGGTCACCGGTGACCGCAACCTATTGTTCTATAATTGTGTCTACAAAACCGGTACTCGACGAGTTAAATTAATCTGCTGACTACTATTGTAATCGGAATAATCAAAACAGTTACTTAAATACCTATTTCGTCTAATAAATACCACGTTTAATACCATTTCCAAATACCACAGTTGGAGCCATGAGTCTTTGCCTTACAATCTACAGTATACTAAAGAACTATTTATTATTCCTAAAAAGACAAAGAATCCAGGTAACTCTGAAAATGAAAGGCACAATGGGCTCCCTTATCTTTTAGCAGCTATTACACCATAGAACACCTTCGACAGACTATCTATGAGCTTTTTATTGTTAAATGAACGAAGGGTAGCGAAACAAAAGATCATTTTAGTTTAAAATACCATGCAATAAACGAGGCTCGCTTTTGAAAGTTTGGGAGTACATCACCACTAAATCTATGATTACAAAAATCCACGAAATAGAAAAGAAATGTCTAAACATCGGAAATAATCAAATTAGGGCCACATTGGATTGAGTTGGAATAGATCACCGGTGACAGCTCGTGATTTTCTGGATCTTTCTAACCGATCAACAATATTTTTCAATAATTTTTTTCTTTAACATAATATAACGATCATTATAAAATACTTACTTAATACGTTTACTTAAAATAATTGTAACTATGCAGGTTAAACACATGGGTATATTAATGTCAGGTTAATTAAATACTCACAATTGTCTAGACTAGAACGTATGTTGATAACTCGTTTCTGTTGTCCCATAAACCAACGATAACGCGCCTTTTGAAGCAGACGCAATTTTAAAACAATAATTTACCACAAAAGTACGTACACGAAGGCTAATTAGCAATGAATAATATTTTAGATAAACGGTATCCGTAGGAAACTATTTCGAAGATACCCACCACATAAAATTTTATTTTAAGTATCGACATACGACAGTGTCAACAGCCGTGATGATTGTCGATATAATTTTTTGATATCTACATAATAATTAATTTAGTATGGGCCGATTTTACAATCAGCAGTCAATAGGGTAGTTTCCTAAATTTTATTTTAATATCCGTCTGGTACATTAATGTAAAACTTTAGACACGTACTTTTTCTTTTCTCATATTATCAATCATATAACAAAATTAAATAGTTTTGACGATATATTAATTTGAAATATCGTGTGACGTCATAGCGTGTCACATTTTGTAGCACGTTTTTTGATAATCTCCTAAACTTAGCGCCATTTTATCTAAATATTGCAACTTAAACTGTCAAACACCAAGCGGTCACCGGTGACCGCAACCTATTGTTCTATAATTGTGTCTACAAAACCGGTACTCGACGAGATAATACGACAAAATAAAAAAAGTGTCTAATATTTTTTAATTATCTAACCAGCGGACAAATTAGATTCTTAATTTTGATATCCTGGAAACTACCCAATTCTTAAGGAAAAAACTTTACAGCTGAATTTTTGGTATGGAACAATAGTATAATATTCAAAATTCTTCGATAAAATTAACTTTTTTTTTTTAACGTTGCCCCACACTAGGATTTTCTCCTGTGTCGTGGGTGCGTTTACAAACATACAAGTTCACATACACAATGACACCCAGACCCGAAACAACAATTTGTGGATCACACAAAGTGTTGTCCCGTGCGGGAATCGAACCCGCGACACGTTGCACGGCAGCCGGTTGCCCAGCCACCGCATCAACCGCGCAGTCAAGATCTAAATATGTAAACCTGGCATTGGGAAGATCTAAATGTACATAAAAAATTAATGTTTGTTTAAAAATGGTTATTCACGGTAGAAAAAGTGAAGACGATCGGAATGCAGAATTACACGTACTTAAACTGTTAAACACCAAGCGGTCACCGGTGACCGCAACCTATTGTTCTATAATTGTGTCTATAATGACGGTACTCGACGAGTTAATAAATTAATCTGGTAGGCAAAACAGCAAATACACACTTTTAATTCCATCGTTAACTTTGGTACAAGTTTTTCAATTTGTTTTCGTACCTACTTAATGTAACTATGATGAGTATTAGTCATGCGTTTCTTCTTTTTCGTTTCCAGAAAAATAGTTTCTAATACATATATTTCATAAACTAGTTACTAGGTTTTACTCGCGGCTTCGCTCGCGTCAGAAAAGGATAAAAAGTAGTCTATGTGACTAATAACTATCCATCCCTTCAACTACCTTCAGTTAAAATATCACGTTAATTAGTATCTCCGTTTTGCCGTTTAAGACAGTCAAACAAACAAATTTCTTTCCGCTCGTGTGGAATAAGGTTATATCGCGCTTTTTCCCTGGTAATGAAGGGTCCTGGAAAAGCAAGGCATTAGTCCTGCCGGGGTAAAGCCTTGCTTTTCCAGGACTCAAACTACCTTCATACCAAATTTCTTCAAAATCCGTTTAGCAGTTTAGGCATGAAAGAACAACAGACAGAAGAAGTTATTTTCGCATTACCACGAATATCATCCTCCCATCTCAATTTAAAAGACTTTACTTGAAATAAAGCACTTAACTAATCTAAACTAACTAATATACAGGTTATTATATACATGATATACAGGATATTAAGGTTTGTTCATTGTTTAGGTAACAACGCACAAAGCGACTTAAAACGACGAAAACACAATAACTACTATAGATAATAATATCTACCTAGAAAAAAAAACACTTGACTAATCAAACCTATTATTGAGCGAGCCAAATAAAATCAATCACATTGCTAGATGCTTACACAAAATATAATTGTTTTAGAAGCTCGGAACCTATACTTTCGCCGGTAACGAAACCATAGCGCCATCTAACTAGACCCATCTATCGCCATCTATCGAGCGTTGAAACAACAGCGTACAATTTATTCTCTAATTGTTGAGTATTGTTGACGCCATGATTTCATGTACATTTAACAGCCTATCAAATTCAAATTTATATTGCATTAAAATGTATAAAACAAACAATTTAATGTAAAATGGTAGGAACCAAAATTTAAAAGCGAAAAATACTAAATAATACACGTTTTTAAAAACACCCAGCGCCATCTATCGCTAAGTAGCGTAACTTCTACATAGATACCAATTAGTAATTCATGACTTATAAAACAGCAAATAAATGGGTCGAAAATTGCACCGAATAAGTGTAGGTGGCGCTATAGATTAAAGCGTGAGATTTCCAACTAGTAGGTAATTCGTTGACTTGTTTAACTCGTCGAGTACCGGTTTTGTAGACACAATTATAGAACAATAGGTTGCGGTCACCGGTGACCGCTTGGTGTTTGACCGCAACCTATTGTTCTATAATTGTGTCTATATTGACGGTACTCGACGAGTTAAAATGACATACACCGCCATCTATACCAATATTTTTGTTTTCCCTCGGGAATATCAAATTCGGGATAAAAGTACCGGTTATTATTTAATCCGGACTTCTAACTTTACGTCTGCAAAATTTCAAAGCAATCGGTTTAGAAGTTACCGCGTGAAAGCGGAACAAACAAACAAACTCACTTTCCCGTTTTTATAATACGCATTAGGTAGGTAGTATTATTGTCGTATAAAAGGCTATTCGGTTACCTTTTTAATGTTGTAATGAAAGAAATATTTCTTATTTAAGTTATTGAGGGCTTGAGGGTTCGATGCAAGGCAAATACACCACGGCTCCGTTTCCTTTGCTCTTAAATGTAGTATGAATTGATACCTTTTTGCAAGGATGATTAATATAAAGGCCATCAGACGGCACGGCGATTTTTGCTACAGAAACAATCGAAAAACCTTGTACGCCGTGCGTCGGGTACTTTCTTTTATTGACGTAATAAAATATGTCATACGACATCCGATATTAAGTTCATATTTAAATGACAATGACATTGCTGGGTTGGTGCCGTGCTGGCGCCGTGCTTATTAGGTGTGCGATGACTTTAATAATCATATGATTTCTCCCTCCCACTCGACTAATAAATTCTTAGTTAAAAATTTAAAAACACGCTTAATTATACGTCCTTGTTGTCATCAAGAGAAATAGATATTTTTAATGAGCCCAAATTCGGTATATGTGCATAAATTCATCAGCCATCTTTCAATTCCATCATCAGACCAGTTCGGTGGTACCGTATTATCAATTTATCATCATAGTAAGCTAATCTATACGAGTTTCATGATGATACAACAATTACAAGTTTGTGTAATTCAGATTCTTAGATTTAATTATTTAGTTCGTTACAAGTCGCACTAATAAAAGCTTGTTAAAGTTTAAAAACTACCACGCTCCAACAGCATACACTTAAAGTATGGTATCTCACTCATACTTATGTGTAATATCAAACCTTTAAGCTAACAATCCAAACGTAACAAAATTAAGTTTTTACTGTGTAAACTTAATGGAAAACCCCAACAAAAACAATCAAATATTTAAATCAGAAAAATCACCACGAACGAAGTAAGGCGCAGCGTGCAGGTACTGAGCTACTTGGGCGAACGCGGGGCGCCGCGCGGGGAAGTGGGGGCACGAGTTATACGTGCACGGCGTTTCTGTGAGAAGGATTCATTCTGTGCTTAGCGTTACTAGATGGTGTACGCATTGTTCGCTCTTTGCTTGCTGTATTTGTTGCAAAAGAGTAAAATAAATCTTGTGCCGTAATAAGTTACAGTTTTTATCTTCAAAATCAACACAGTAAATCCAGCTGGTCAAGAATACTTAGTATCCAACTAAATTCAGGACAAACAGAGGTGAAAAGAAGATCATATCTACATAAAGTACCGGAAGGACGATATAAACTCTATAAAATCTTAATATAAAATAATATGTGGCCAAAAGAGTTTGACGACAACCAGGAAACAAGTGATGATGTTATATATTTCTTTTATGTGAAGAGAATTAGAGAGCCGGAATACTTTGGTGACATTGATTCGGATAGTGATGACAGTGATGCAGATAGCAATAATAATATCAGTGATGACAGTACCACGGACATGGAGTGTGATGCGGACCGCGGTAATGGTAAAGAGTCCGACGAAAATCAGGCAACACGTGATAATTATGACGATAAATATTTCTTTTATGTGAAGAGAATTAGAGAGCCGGAATACTTTAGTGACATTGATTTGGATAGTGATGACAGTGGTGCAGATAGCAATAATCAGGCAACGCGTGACAATCACGATGATAGGTATTTCTTTTATGTGAAGATAATTAGACAGCCGGAATACTTTGGTGACATTGATTTGGATAGTTATGACAGTGATACAGATAGCAATATCAGTCATGACAGTACCACGTACATGGAGTATGATGCGGACAGCGGTAATGGTAAAGAGTCCGACGAAAATGAGGCAACACGTGATAATTATCATGACAGATATTTCTTTTATGTGAAGAGAATTAGAGAGCCGGAATACTTTGGTGACATTGATTTGGACAGTGATGAAAGTGATGCAGATAGCAATATTAGTGATGACAGTAACACGGACACAGAGTGTGATGCGGACAGTGGTAATGGTACAGACTCCGACGAAAAGCAGGCAACAAGTGAAAATGATGATTTTGATGACGATTCAGATAGCAACATCAGTATCTTCAATGATACGGACACGGATTGTGAAACGGATACGGACAGCACTGACGGCGAAGAGGACGATACTCAGGAAACAAGTGATGATGATGACTACTTTGTGAACAGTGACGGAGAGATAGAATTGTATGACAGTGATTTGGATGACGATGACCGTGATTCAGATAGCAATATCAGTGATGATAGTGATACGGACCCGGAGTGCGACACGGACAGTGGTCACGACAGTGATTTATAATTTTAAATACATTAATAAGTTTAAAAAT